TTGCCCAGAATTTTGCATGTACAGTACTCGAGAAGCCCAGAGGTGCTTTAGGATAGAACCTCCAAACCCAGCCTTCAGCCTGAGGACTCTGAGAAGCTGCTGGGCACCTGATAGATCCAGAGCTGGTTGGGGACAAGCCAGGCACTCAGAGCACATGGGTGGTGTGGGGAGGAGGAGTCTGGGCAGGTGCCCTGGCGTGCACCCTGCTCCCAGCCAACCAAGGAGACCCTGGAGCATACCGAGGAGGCTGCAGATGGTACCACTGTCACCCCTCACTGGGGACAGGTCAGAGGCCCATCCTTATCCACACCTGTCTCCCACATCCTCTGAGTGGTACCTCTCTCGGACAGCTGCTCCTGGCCCAGTGCCCCAAGCTGACATACCCAGGAGCACCTGAGCATGCAAGGTCCCTGTCCTGGTCGTCAGCCTATTCCTATGATGTGGCCTTGGCCCCGCAGGACGCCTATGACAACGTCACCCTGGACGTGGAGCTGGCTCGCCGGGAAGGCTGGTGTTTTGGGGCCAAGCTGGTGCGAGGTGCTTACATGGCCCAGGAGCGTGCCCGTGCTGCGGAGATTGGCTACGAGGACCCCATCAACCCCACTTACGAGGCCACCAACACCATGTACCACAGGTGAGCGAGCGGTCCTCCTGCACCTCTGTGCTGCCGCGGCAGGGTGGGGGGTTAAGGCCGCGGGAGAAGCTCAATGCTGTGCTCACCCCGTTCGAGGCCAGCGGCCTCCAGCAGGCGCCAACACTGTATGTATCCTGAGAGCATAAGTTACACTCTTTCTGCTTTTGCATTACTTTCTCAGAAATATTAAGATTTTTCTTCTTTAAATACAGAAAAATCTACTGAATAAAACAAAAGTGACCCCATTTCCCCAGCTTGCTCCCCGTGCCCCCTAGGTGAGTGGCCTGGAAGGCTTTGCTCTTCATCGGCAGCAGACCGTCCACCGGTTGCACCCTGCTGTTTCTGCTGTTCATCCTGGGGATCTCTGCGTTAAGCACAAGCGGTCCAATTCTGTGCTGCTTCTCTGAGACCATGTGTGCTTGCTGCAATCTGAAGGGGGCCCCCAGTGTCTCATTGCTGGCTCCAGCTCCCCTCCTGGGCATGTCCACATATAGAAGTCATTGTGCGCATCTGTGTCCTGCCACACGTGTGCCCCATTCGTACATACGTTGTGCATTCTGCCTTTTGCCCCTTGCGTTTCTTCATTTAACGTTACGTCTGGATCCTCCTATCTCAGCATAGAACCCTGTCAGCCTGACAGCTCTCCTTACTGGAGGACAGTGGTACTGTGGACAGTCTCCCTGGTACATGGACATCCACCGTCCAGAGACCTCCAAGGACCCACTTCCTGTCATTTCCTTGAAGGGCTGGGAGGGCACTATGGAGTCTGTTCCCACTGACAAGGTAGCAGTTTGAGGCCACCCCCACATAACAGAGCCTGCTAGTTCTCTCCGAGCTGTCTGGTCCCACTTGGTCTTGGTCCCAAGCCTTCTTCACCAGGCGCTGAACAGGCCAGCTGCTGTTCATTCCCCTGATGCTGGGCACACCCTTGGGAGGGGCCGGCTTACCGCATGGCTCCGCGTCAGTCTGAGGGGAGGCAGCAGTGGGCAGGGCCAGGCTCAGTGGTGCTCTCCCCAGGTGCCTCACCTATGTCCTGGAGGAGCTGAAGCACAACTCAAAGGCCAAAGTCATGGTGGCCTCTCACAATGAGGACACGGTGCGCTTCACGCTACAAAGGTAGGTGCCGCACGCCCTGAGCTGTGGGGCGCTCTGCGACTGAGGACAGCTGGCGGTGGCCCAGGGCTCAGGGAGCACACAGCGGCCTGCCAGGTGCTGCTGGGCTTTCTGAGAGGGTAACCCCACGGAAAGCACTGGCACGGAGTCTTTAATGTGTCACAGGCCCAGGCCTTGCTGCCTTTCTTCATACAGCCCTGTAGCAGCAAGGAGGCTGTTTGCAGTTATTTTCATTTTAAAAATGAATACCCGCTTTACTAAAGTCTCCAACTCAAAAACATAAATTTTGTTAGATGATTAAATAGCTCACTGAAATATTCAGGCATGGTGTTCAATCTCAGTCCTCAGGAGGCCTCTCCAACGTTTATAAAAAGTTATAAACCACCTCATTTATAAACAATTTCTGTTAACGTTTCAATTGCACTTGTAATTTAATATAGTCTGTTTTCTCTTTAAATGCTTGTCCCATGGAACACAACTTGGTAGAATTCTAACCAGTCAAATACAGAAATAAGGTGAGGTAGATCCCTAAACATCCCAGTACTTTCACCATGGCTTTCTCTCTCACGCCATGGACACAACAGCACCTGCTGTTGTTTCCCCTCCTTTCTCCTGGTCCCTCCTTTCCTGAAATCTGGGCCCTGGGCAGTGGCCTTGCTGGCCTCCACTCTCCCAAGAGCCAAGCTGGGGCCCCCTCCACAGTGGCAGCCTCGGGTCCGCGCTTGGACACCAGGTGGGGCCACCTGGAGATGCGGCGAAGGCGCAAGGCCAGGCAGGGGACAACGGTGCTTCCCAGTGCTGCTCGGCCAGTGCCCAGTGATCACTGAGTGCCGTCAGTACTCTTCCTGCGTGCGAGATGGTGCCTTTTCACTGCTTGATATCATGGGCCACCCCTCTTGCCGTTTGTAATCTCGTGGCAGAGGCAGGGGAGGGGTCTTCGGGGGAGTGGGCCTGCCCTGCACCGAGGCCGCTGTGCCTGAGACACTGCGGTGAGGTGGGGAAGGAGGGGAGCTCTCCTGCCGAGTTCCTGGGTGCTCGAGCGCCAGGGGCAGGGCTGGAGACCCTGAGATGGCGGGGACGGGGGAGCGTAGGCCGCCAGCAGCCTTGGGTGGGGTGTGAGGAATCCCAGGCTGGCTGTGCACTGAGGCTGGCGGGCTCGAGAGCGCAGGGGCAGATGCACAGAGCCCAGATACCTGGGTATGGGAAGCTAGAGATGAAAATGAGGGAACCACCAACGTAGGGACTTTAAACACTGAAGTGTGGTAGCGCCCTACAAGGGGGGCTGTGAAAACAGGAGGCTGGCCAGCTGGGGGTCACCGCCCCGACATCTGAGCAGTGCCAAGAGGAATCTGAGTCACAGCTGTAAGTCACAATTCTCCAACAGCCAAGTTTTGAAAAGATGAAATTAATGTTAACATAACAGGGCTGGGGATGTAGCTCAGCTTGCACAGGGCCCTGGGTTCAGTGCTTTTTACCCCCCCACACAAGTTCATTTTCCATTTTTTTCCTACTAAGTCTTCAACATCTACATCTAGTATGTACAAAGTCTGCAAAAAAAAAAGTATACACTTCAGGAAAAGCAAAACATAACTATTTTAATATGAAATTTATTGAGACATCATGAGATTAATGCAAGTTATCTTTTGGCCTCAATTATAAGAGGTGCTCAAAGTGGTGGCCATGAGCTTCCAGATATTTATTAGTACAGAGAACTGCTGCATGGGTAGGTAACCTTGGTCACTGAGATTGCTACACATGCATTTTCAATTTCTTCTCTACAGGCTGGCAGTGTAGTGGGTTTTCTGTGATGTATGACAGCCTCTAGGGTCCCCCATCCTACGAGGGTAATACCATCTATTGAGAAAACACTGTACTATGCTTTTCCTGAAATGTGTATTTTGTTTTTGTTTTTGCAAACTATGTATATTTGACAAGATGCATCTTGATTCAAACCAGCTACCTTCTAAGGACTCAGCCTGCGGGTGGCTGCATACAGGGACAGAGTGACTGTACACATGGGGTGGAGGGGCAGCCAGCAAGGGGAGGACAAGGGTGGGTTGCCAGCAGATCAGTCACCAAAGCAAAATCCCAGTGATGCAGGAGGGCCCAGGAGCGTCCCTGACCCAGAGGCAGGCCCTGCAGGGTCTGGAAGCAGGTGAAGGTATAGGAGAGCCAGAGTAGAGGGGGGAAGGGGACGAACTGTGCTGGCCATGGGCCGAGGCCTACCCTGGAAGGCTTTCCCTGGGAGCAGCAGGGTAGCCCAGGCGAATTCTGCTGGGAAGAGAGTGGCGGGGTACAGAGGCTGGAGGTCTGGGGGAAGTAGGAGGTCCTCAGAGCTAAGCCGGTGCCGTGCTGCTCTCAGGACCGAGTCCTAGGGCCAGCCCCTTACCTGCCTGGCCTCACCCATTTACAGGATGGAGGAGCTGGGCCTGCATCCCTCTGACCACCAGGTGTACTTCGGACAGCTGCTGGGCATGTGTGACCAGATCAGCTTCCCACTGGGTGAGCCCAACTTCTCTGGGCGGGCAGGTGGGGTCGCCACGGGGCTGGGACCTGAGTGCCGTCTGCTGTATCGGTAGGCCAGGCAGGCTTCCCCGTGTACAAGTACGTGCCGTACGGCTCAGTGATGGAGGTGCTGCCCTACCTGTCCCGCCGCGCCCTAGAGAACAGCAGTGTCATGAAGGGCACCCAGCGAGAGCGGCAGCTGCTGTGGCAGGAACTGTGGCGGCGGATCCGCACCGGCAGCCTCCTTCAGTACCCGGCCTAGCCTTGTTCCCACCACAGCTGCACACTCAGCTCACCTGCCGGGTCGCAGGGGAGGGAGACGATTTGGGGGGACACTGGTGCCAGCCACACCATCGCCACAGCTGTGGTCTAACCCCAGCCTCTCAGAATTCACCTGTTTTACCTTCGAAACTCGAGAGTCACTGGTGGTGAGGTGTCCTGCCCTTGGTCCCCCCAACCCCAGTCCTGCCCCGTCCAGAACGGAGGCACACAGGCCACTGGAACTGTCAGGAGCAAGCAAGGGGCCATCCCTGGTGTTGGCCTGAAGAATCGCCTGCCAGGGACTCACACACACACCCAAGCCTCCTGCAGGGTGGTGGTCCAGCTGGACAGCTGCCTGGTCAATAAATCACCATTTGAAGGCGAGCGCCCTCAACTCTACCGCATGAGTCACGTGAAATCAGCTGTGTGCGGTGGAGGGAACAGCTAGGACGGAGAGGTCTCCTTCAAGCCAGGAGTCCCGACTGGCGGGGACGGGCAGACAGCACCTCTGACGAGCTGCACTGCAGACTCAGCCACCCTTGCGTCTATAGCCCAGGAACCAGTGGGCCCAAGGGCTCTCTGAGCAGGGCAGACAGCAGCAGGCAGGCCTGGGCTCCTTTCTTCTGCCGCCCACTCCCCTCCCCAGGTTCCTGCTTCCCTGAAAGGCCACTGACCGGGCCTGCGGCAGGTAACTTCCCTTCGCACCCTAGCCCGGTGCCTGCGCATCTCCACCCGTGCTCTCCAGGCCCGCGTGGAGTCGTCTGGGTCTGGTCCGTGGTGAAGACAGCAGTGGTAGTGCCTGGGGAGCGGGGCCGGGGCCGGGGCAGGGAGAGCCAGCAGTGAGCAGTCCCGCGGCAGGGACGAGGTGGTGGGCTTGGGCAGCCCAGGAGGAAGGGAGCCTTCGGGGAGCCTCTGCCACATGGTGCTGCTCTCTGCCGGCCGCAACAGGGTCACAGACTGCCGGGAAAGGGAATCACAGACCTGTAAGCCACGTGTAGGCTTTTTATTTTTGAGTCACATACGGCCTGGGCCTCAGAGCCCCTTCTACTTGGGGGCTGGAGCTGCCAAGGAGGGGCCAAGACAAAAGTGAGCACAAAGCCAGGGACCTGCACAGAGGTCGGGATGTGCCCACCTAGTGGGAGGGTGCTAGAACCGGTAGCCCTATTCCACCTGGCCCTCGGGCAGACAGTGCACAGGCCGGGCTCTCTCCTTTTTATGACCCTATCTAAATCCAGAGGTGGGTGACGGAGTCAGAGTCTCCAGGCGCCTCTGGTGGCAGCTGAGTCAGTGACCGAATGTCAGGAAATGTCCAGCTTTCCGGTAACAGTGGACACGGCTGCATTCCCGACCACACTGGGCAGAGGTGGCCAGCAGGGACCCCACCTGGTCACAGGGCTGCCTTCCCAGACTGGCAGCCCCTCTGCTGCAGCTTCCGGATGAGTTCCAGCAGGTTCATCTGTAGTGTCAGCTCCTGGGATGCAGAGGGGACACGCGATGTACCTTTCTGCACTGGCCCTGTGGGCATGGGGCGATGGGGCTCACTTCCCAGTTGGCCCTAGATGGGCCAGCAGTCTCCCCGGGTGATATACTCAGACTAGCATGCAGGAGGGGAGCAGAGGGCTCTGCAGGGCCCAGCAGGCCTGGGAAGGTGGCCTACCTTCCTGTGGGCAGCGGGACTGGCCTGCATACCTTTCCTGGAACCTCCTTTCCATCTCTGTCCACTCACCACTGATCTCGGGCCTTCAGGGACCAGTGACACATGATCTGTAGGCAAGATAGGCCCAGGTGCTGACCTGTGGGTTGGTGGTCACATAGAAGCCAGCTACTCCTGCCTTCTCCAGTGTGCTCTGCTGGTCAGCCACCTTCCGGTCCAACTCCAGGACAATCTTCCGGTCCATCGCCTGCTGTTCCTCCCGGATCCGATGCTCCACTGCCTGCCATGGGCAGGGAATGAGGGTGACATCCAGGCTTAGCTTTCACCCATCTATGCCTCAGAGACACCCTCTGGCCTGCCACCTCCTAGCTACCTTGTCCACCCCAGTGGCACTAGCTCCAGAACTATGGGGATCCTCACCACACCCAGGACATAGGGGAGCTCCAAGACGCTTCCCCAAAAGCCCCAGCTGGGGGCTGTCTTGGGACCTGACAGAGGGCACCCCACACACAGCTTGATTCCATGTGGGTCTCTAGTCCCCCACGAGCTCCCTAGGAGCACGGACCCCTTCCTGGCTGGCTGTCATGCCTGAGGCATGCAGTGGCCCCAACTCCACACCTGCTCTGTGCACACCCCAGCCTTCAAGGAGCCATTCTGAGGAAAAGGGATCACCAATGGGTGGGTCTTTACTCCCCACCCAGCCCCGGCACGCACCAGCCCCCACAGGGAGAAGCCGTGTGCTTGGACTGCGGCACCCTACTAGGCTGAGGCCCAGAGCAGTCGGGGTCTCACTATGTAGCTCAGGCTGGCCTTGAACTCACGATGTAGCCTGGGCTGGCCTGGAACTTATAGCAATTCTGCCTCAGCCTCCCAAGTGCTGGAATAATAGGCGTGCGCCACCACTAGTGGTGCCCAGCTAGTCACGGGTTCTTGAGCCATCCTGAGGCCCCTCTGTAGAGCCAGGTGGTGCCCACAGGAGAAGCCAGGTCTGACCATCTCACCCCTGCCCCCTACCTCCAGCTCACGCTGCTGAGCGGCCTGGAGCATGGGCAGGTTGTGGGGCCGGCAGGCCTGCTGGGCCTCCAGGTGCTTCTGCCGCAGCGCCTGCCTGAGCACTGGGAGGGGAGAGAGCCAGAGAAGAGCAAAGAGCCATCAGCATCAGCAGGCACTGGGGAAAGGAGAGTAAGGAGGGGCCCAAGGCATACCTCACCCGTAAGTGTCTGCCTCGACAGCCAGGTGCAAGCACAGAAAGAAACCACCATCACTAAACAATGTGCAACACTGCATAGCTGGTGCCCTGACCTTTACTGGTTTAAGCATCAAATAACTATTCTGCCCCAGGAGGAGGGGTTGACAGTGCACCGTTAAGAAAAGTCAAAACCAACACTGTTCCTAGAAGACCTGCCCTGACACTTCTCAGGAGAGTGCTTGAGGCTCCACAGCAAGTAGCCTGGCCCCCTGACGATGACACTGATGACATTAAATGTGTGTGAAACCAAGTGCCATGCCAAGACGTTCCATAAACGCAAGGGCAAGAAAGACTTCCCAGTTAGACGACTTACCAGTTAGGGCCTTCCTAGGTGGAAACAGGATGCCAGGCAAGAGACCAATGCAGCGAATTTCACCTCATTCACGCCACTTATCGAACACTGTTACAAGTCTCAGGTCAACTCCCAGGTTGCACTGGGTAAGCAACCAAAAGTTAAGGAGAAAGCCATGCTAGCTGCCTGCTCAGAAAGGCCTTGGTCTTAGTAAATGACAAAGGAAAGCAAAGGAAGCCAATCACTCCTTGCTAAATCAGGCAAAGGAAAGCCAAAGAGCCAGCAGACCTACCTAGTGCTACCTGTGCAGTGCCTGGCCCAAGCTTTCTGGGGATAATTAGCAAAGGAGAGTTACCAAAAAACTGTCCTGATAATAGGGCTCTGTGGAGAAATGGCTTATTTCAGGACTGACCCATGGAAAGCACAAGATGAGCCTGAACCAGAAAGCAAGAAGTTCTGGGAGACTGGTGACACATCAGAGGAAGCCTGCAAGTCACCCTGGGCCAAACACAGCAGTCCGGGCTTGAAAAAGAAAGAGTTGTGTATTTCAGATTTGTAGACTACATGCATATCCTACCTCACAATGTCTAAAAAGACAACTGCCTAAACACTGAGAGAAGAAGTAATGCTAACTCTGCAAGTGTCTAGCAACTGAGAACACTTCTCACCATGTCCTGTGAGACCAGCATTATCCTTATACCTAAACAAAAATACAGGAGAGCTACACACCAATGTCTGCCATGAACATAGAGGCAAAGATTCTTAACGTGCTTTTAGTAAATCCAATCCAATGTGTGTGTGTGTGTGTGTGTGTGTGTGTGTGACATCATAACTGACAGATTTATCTCCAGAATGCAATTCACCCCAGGAATTCATAAGTCAATGTAACTCAGCATTGTAACAGAAAAATGACATGATCATCTCCATGGATACAGAAAAAGAATTTTACAAAATCCAACATCCATCCCAGTAGAAACATTAACCTTGTGGCACGTGGATATCACCGGCCATGATGAGTAACTTGCATTACTAGAAGAAATTTTTGCCACATTTACCCTGTATCTGAAGGCCTTGTTTCCGGGCCAGTTTACAGGAAACAGCGTGGAGAAACTTGTTAAGTAACAGCACGAGGGAATAACCTGCCAGGTGCAGAGCAGGGACATCTACAGGTAGAACTACTGAGCTCTGCAAAGGCATGCCAACGTGCATGTTAGGAGTGGTTCCAGAAGCAAACACCAAAATAATCAGTTGCAGTGCACGAACCTGGGCCAGACCCCTAATTATGAAGCGACAATTTGAAACGCATTAGGTACGCTGACCACAACACCCCGGAAAAGTTCAGTGTGGCTGTGTCACAGTGCTCTTGTCCCAGGGCACTGGCTCTCAATCCCTGGCCAAGGCTGACCTGCAGGTGGTCTCGATACGGTTTTGGTTGTCATAACAAGAGGAGGATGCCGATGTTTTCCTGAGCTGCCCAGGACAGTGTCTCACCACAAACACTTATTCAGCTCCAAATGTCAGCAGTGTTGGGTTGAAATCTTGGCCCTGAAGAACACTGAGGACGCCTGTGTAGAGTACTGCTGAAGTGCTACAGCATCATGTATAAAAAAACTACAGCAAACTGTTAACTACTGAATGTGTTTCCAGAAGCAAACACCAAAATAATCAGTTGCAGTGCACGAACCTGGGCCAGACCCCTAATTATAAAGCGACAATTTGAAACGCATTAGGTAAGCTGACCACAACACCCCGGAAAAGTTCAGTGTGGCTGTGTATTTCCAGAAGCAAACACCAAAATAATCAGTTGCAGTGCACGAACCTGGGCCAGACCCCTAATTATGAAGCGACAATTTGAAACGCATTAGGTACGCTGACCACAACACCCCGGAAAAGTTCAGTGTGGCTGTGTCACAGTGCTCTTGTCCCAGGGCACTGGCTCTCAATCCCTGGCCAAGGCTGACCTGCAGGTGGTCTCGATACGGTTTTGGTTGTCATAACAAGAGGAGGATGCCGATGTTTTCCTGAGCTGCCCAGGACAGTGTCTCACCACAAACACTTATCCAGCTCCAAATGTCAGCAGTGTTGGGTTGAAATCTTGGCCCTGAAGAACACTGAGGACGCCTGTGTAGAGTACTGCTGAAGTGCTACAGCATCATATATAAAAAAACTACAGCAAACTGTTAACTACTGAATGTAAGCGGAGCGCATAAGGGTGGCCTTTCAGCTTTTCTGAACGTTTGATTTACAAGAAAAGGTTGGGAGAAAGTGGGCATAGTGGCAAAGACCCATAAACCCAGCTTCTCGGGAGGCTGAGGCGGAAAGATGAACCGCACAAGCCCAGCATGGGCAACTTTCTGAGACCCTGTCTCAAAATTAACAAAAAGGGGTAGGGATCTAGTTCAGCGGTAGAATGTCCGATGTACACGAAGCCTCGGGTTCAATCTCCAGCAGTACACAAAACAGAACCACAACAACAAAAGCTGGGAGAAAACAAAACAGCAAAGGTGGAAGGAAATCTGGTGGCAGTGCGGAGGTAGGCCGAGTACCCATTACAGGAAGGGGCACCCAACCCCTCTCCCTCAGTGGGAGTGCATGTGAGGGACCAAGCCCGGGACTCCGTGAGAAGTCTTCAGGGATGCTACAAGGAAGACTGCTCAGGGATCCCAGCTCACCTGGTGTGGTATCACCTGCGCTGCCCAGAGGGAGCCGACCCTAAAAGGTACTATAGAGCAGCAAGACAGTCATCCATGCGGGATACCGGTGGTCAGCGGCCGTCCAGCCTAGCAGACAGTAGGGTACAGGGAAGCCCGAGCCGGGGGTATCTGGATGTCACGCTAAGGAGAGGGCACTGCTCGACTCACTGGTTACCAAAAAAGCTATCGCAGACGCTGCACACTTGACTTGGTCCACCTGCGGTTCCAGGGAAGGGCCCGACCGCACAGAGAACAAGGGCTGACCCCTGGGAGCAGCGTGCGTCGTCCCACTGCCCCCGCGCACCTCGGTGCTCGTTCTGCAGCCGCAGGCGCTGGTTGTACAGGCTCTTCTCCGTGAGGTGCTGGATCTCCAGCAGTCCCTGCACGATCTCGAACACAGTGCCGTCGAGAAGCGCCAGCGCCAGATCACTGAGTGTGGTGTAGGACAGGCGCTGCTGGAAAGAAC